TGGAGTGGCCAGCGCAGTCACCAGATCTGAACCCCATTGAGCTGTTGTGGGAGCAGCTTGACCGTATGGTACGCAAGAAGTGCCCATCCAACCAATCTAACTTGTGGGAGCTGCTTCTAGAAGCGTGGGGTGCAATTTCTCCAGATTACCTCAACAAATTAACAGCTAGAATGCCAAAGGTCTGCAATGCTGTAATTGCTGCAAATGGAGGATTCTTTGACGAAAGCAAAGTTTGATGTAAAAAAAAAAATTATTTCAAATACAAATCATTATTTCTAACCTTGTCAATGTCTTGACTCTATTTTCTATTCATTTCACAATGTATGGTGGTGAATAAGTGTGACTTTTCATGGAAAACACAAAATTGTTTGGGTGACCCCAAACTTTTGAACGGTAGTGTATATGTAGAGTAATCATTATTTTTGGTCTTTCTGCTGTTCTTTTTCACACTTACACAAGATAAATGTATTTCAACTTTGAAATCCTTACAGCCTGTGGAGGTGTGTGTGCCATATCATCGAACAAAAAGAAGGGACGTGGTGGTGCGGACGTTTGACGGACAGTTGTGGAGCACTCTGCCCACTGACCTACGAAGAGGGAGCGAGAGCCATAGCAGTCACCCTGGGGGACGTCCAGCCAGGGTAAAACCTCACACCTTGCACTGCAAAACAATAGTAATACAAATTGTAATGTTATTGTTGAAAAAAATGACTTCTTGTTATATCTGTAGCTGGCCTGCTGCTCAGTGAGTCACTTCTCCTGGTTTATGGTGGTGTCCCGTCCAGTAAAGAACAGTTGCTGTGTTACACCAGCTGGGGCCCTGCTGGTATCCAGTGCTGACCCTGGAGTCAAGCTCCACTTCCCCCCAGACTCCACTGTGCAGACTCGTACAGTAACTTTACAGGTAAAATTAGCGAACAGCAGTACTATATTTCAGTTTGTTTGCAAGATAATCTGCAAGGTGTTGGTCTCTCCTCATCTGTAGGTGCTGCAGGTGTCTGTGTCAGAGGTGCAGTCACTGTGTGGTGATCCTCAGGCGAGAGTCAGCCCCCTCCTTTGTCTCTCCCAAACTCCCAGCATTAATTTTTTGCAGCCAGTCAAAGTTCAGGTCCCTCTGCCATCTGGAGTCACAGGTACAATACACCATCCGGACTCTTACATGTGTATGATAACAGAATAGATTAACATGTATTAACATGCTGAGTGCTTCTACAGGCCATACAGTTGATATGTCCTGCTTGCATCTGCTCCATGGAGACCCCTCTGCCCAAACGTGGACTGACATCACATCACAGGTGTCTCTCTATGTGACCCATTTGTATGCCATTTTCTACATCTCACATTTCTCCTGGTAAGTTTCTGTAATTACATGAAGTATGTGTGATACACATTTTACACTGTGTTATTATACCTTTGCATTGTCTGCACCATCACAGGTACTGGCTGTGGTACACCACACGGCGCTGTGTTAGTGGGGTTGTCAGGAAGGTCTATCAAAGGCTAAAACAGTTTAAAGTTCAGTTCCTCGTCCTTCAGCGGAAGACTGATCCTTCACAAGTTCTACTTCAGTGCTTACCTGCTAACAAGGTTTGTAGTACTCCATTCTGTGTTGTTACTGTTTAGTTTAATAGCACTACTGACCCCACAAACAGCCATCCTGTCGTAGCCTCTGTGTGTGATGTCTTTGTAAAAATGTATGCCCAGATGCTAAGCAGCGATTGTGATGTTCCTTCACAGATAGAGGGCAGAGTGCAGTCCTTGTCAGAGCAGTACGACGGACCCCAGCCGTCAGACCTGTGTGACCTGCTGGAGGGAGAGCAGTTCTTCGCTGGCTTTGAGAGGGGCTTAGATATCAGCACAGGTCTGAAGTCCTCTTTGTAGTTCTATCTTAAATAAACATTTTTTCCCTTGCTCCCTTTCCCTCCAAGGTCTTATGATGTGCTGTTGTGTAATCATTTCCCTGACACAGCTATTTGCAAGAAGTCTAAAGCTGACATTGTCCTCTTTTCTCCAGACAGACCAGACTGTGTGGAAGGAAGACTGTGTTTTGTGTTTTATTCCAGCCTGAAGAATCTTAAGGAAGTGTACGTCTGTCCAGCTCAGGGTCAGAAGGGACCAGTGAGGGGACAAGTAAGACAAACATATTTCACAGCCACAATAATACTAATGTACTGTGCTCCATTTTCTGTTTGGACATGTATAGTTAACATTGTGCAATGTACATTTCCACAGTCCATAGTGACACACAAGGTCCAAGGACTACATGACCTACTGTATATTTCAGAAAACAATAAGTAATAGATTAACTTTCTAAATACAGTGCAGCAAATTCTACACAGTGTAGCCAAAACTTCAGACCTTTCATCTGATATTTTCTATATAATACAGAAAATATTTGACTTACCTTTCGACATGAAGTAGCAGCTATGTATGCTGATGATGTTTTCTTCATGATGAGCACACCAGAGTCATTTACACTGTACAGAAGATTAATTGGGATAAAAGCGGAGCCATCCCTCTCTACATACATATCTTTCAATCCGTTTGTTTTTTAAAACAAATGGGATTAAGTATTTTAGCATTGATTTTTTTTTTTCTCCAGCTATAAACATGTTTAATAATAATGGCCCCTGATGACTGCACTTAATGAATAATCATATGCACCATACCTTTGTTTCTATGGGGAAGAGTGGAAACACGAAAAATGCTGCTAACATGTATTATCTCCTCCGTGTTTCTACAAATTCCCTGGACTGGGCTCAAAGACATTAAATCTGTTTTTGTTTGTTTTCTGTGGAGCAATAAGAATCCAAGAATCACATATAAGAAAGCACCCAAGGTTTCACTGGCCTCTTTCAGTATTATCTGTCTTTTATGCCAGGTAAACATTGTGTTGATCCGGTATATCCAAATCTGAGACATGTCACTTAAAATATGTCTCTTCAAAACTCTTTGGTTCCACCCTGAATTACCTTCAGTAGATGATTATGAGGTAATTCAATCTTCTGTTGCAGTCCACACCTTTATTGCATGTTGTACCCCTCTTTACCCACATTTCTCTCTCTCTCTCTCTCTCTCTTGACTGTCACTATCTAATTAGAAAGCCCAAAATAAATCTCCCCGCAGATTCTTGTTTTTCACATATGCACAGACTGCATGATATGTTGTGAGGAAGATGTGCAATAAAGGTGCTTCTGCTGCCTCGCATGATGAATGAGATAACACCTTTAAAAGAGGTGCAATAACCGGAGGAGTGGCGTTCTCTATATATGCTTTATTGCTCATGATCGGTCCTAATCAAATCACATTGGAACACAATATTAATACATCCAGCGGTCTGGAAATTGACTATCGGCTCCCCTAAATCTGTTAGATACAGAATTTTTCTGTGCAAAATTGTATGCAGGTCACATCTCACCCCTGTTAGATGATCTAAAATGGACGATAACAATCAGAATTCATGCTGGTTTCACTGTGGGAATAGAAAAATGTTGTTTCAGTCTTCCTGTCTGCCCTGTGGTGTTCTTGCTTGGTCATCAGATAGAAGGAAGTACAGGTGCAACTAGAATCATTCTTCTAAACTGCACAGAACATGAGCCACCCTGGGTTTCTAAAGACTCATGAAGAGCAACATCACTCTGTCTCAGGGGGAGATATACTTGTACCAGTGGAGTGTGTGTCGAAGGAAGATTACTGCCTAATGAATGTAACTGCTTGTCACAAATGAACCACAAACTTAAAAACTAAACATTATATGTGCTTTATGTAGTTTCTCTAAATCTATTGTCCCTTCTTTGAATGTGTTTCATGGTTTAGCTTTTATGCACGTTGTTTTAATAAAAATTAGAAACATCCAGTGGGAAGAAAAGAAACTATTCGGTAGTATTTTTGTTTGTGATATATTGTGTGGCTACGTCTATCACTGTTGTCACTTAATATTCCCTGCAAAAAATAAAAGAGTGCACCAGCTCCCCATAGCTGCTAGGGTCAGTGCCAGGGATAGGATGCCATTGTTATTTTGTCCCATGAATCATGCTGTAAGTATTGTTTGGACAACTCACTGAAAATGTGCTTTGCCCCTCTGTTGCAGGTGTCTTTTTACAGAGGGGAGATTCCCAGTGAACTGCCAGAGGAAGTTGCCAGAAAGAGGAAAGGACTTGACAACCAGTGGCTTGCAACATTACCACTAAGACTTCCTGTCAGTTCAAGTGACAGATAACATTTTTTTTTAAATTCCTAATTTCAAGACAGCATAAAATCTTTTGCAGTTGTGGATTGTATTTGAAATAATAATAACATGTGCATTTTATCCTTAAATATTTTAAGTTAAAAAAAAAAAAAAGTCCTCTCCATTGACACGATGATTTCATTGCTGACAAAGTTCATATAAGCATTACATCTGTGAATACTTCTTCTTTGTGCTCTGCTCCTTGTGCTTCAGTGTGCAAGTCACCAGCTGAAAGGAACAGTGTGTATGTTTTTCTTGTAGGCACTCAACTCAGAGAACAGTTTCGTCATGGAGGAGCTCCAATATCCTCCTCTGAACCTGGGCGACCCTGAGAGCGGCTACCTGACAGAAGCCAACCTGCTGTCCATCTCTCTTCAGATAGGACAGGACTGGCGTGTTATTGGCATCAATCTTGGCTTGAGCTACCAAGAGTTGGACCGCATCCAATACAAGAACAGGTAGGAATAAAAAGCAGAGTTTAGTCAAAATTACTAAGCAGAACAAACCTCTTTGAGGGAATAGATTTTGGCATACAATATAGGCTGGCTTTTTTGTGGCTCAGAATAACGCTAGTAGAAAACACGAAAGTCTGTTTTACCTCATTTGACAGAAATATGTGCATTTTTCTGTTCTATCTGATTATTTGATGAGCAAAAAATGTCTATAACTAATGCACCAATGTCTATGCAAGAGTAAATGAATCCCTAATTAACAAAGCTGGCTTTAAAAAAAAAAATCCTATTTATTTAGTGTCTCTGTGGGCACCAAAACATTCTCTATGGAGGAGAAATCCTGCAATAACACAGTGTGAATAATAAAAGCAATGATGACAGAATTCCACTTTGCTGCTTCAGCTTCAGGGCTCTGACTCACTGACACACTGTCATGGCCTATGGGGACACTTGAACAGAGCCATGTGTTGTTGTGCTGTTCTTGCTATGATGGGTCAGAGTGTTGTGAAAACGGTCTGCCCAACAATGCTGGTAATTCACTGGCTGCAAATGATATTTTCTTATTTGGTAACAAGTTATCTAAATTTACGTTTGTTCTGAGGCAAAGATAGACAGATAGACTTTTGTTGAACCAGAAACGTTTAATTTCTTTTGATAATCATTTGTATCTTGACTGTAACTTACAATAACGTTGGCATTTTAACAGTGTATAAGTTCAGCAGGACTCTATAAAGGATCTATTTGCAGTTGCAATTCAGAGAGGAGGTCTGTAATAGTTAATATACAGTTAAAACCACAAGTTTACATACACTGTGTAAAAAGACATAACCTTTTTTTGTCACTGTCTGACATTAAATCAGACTAAACTTTTCCTGTTTTAGGTCAGTCAGGATTGCCAGAATTATTTGTATTTGCTAAATGCCAGAATAATGAGAGAGAGAATTTTTTACTACTTTTGTCAAAACCAGAAGTTTACATACATTAAGATTACTATGCCTTCAAACTTTTTGGGAAAGCCCAGATGATGATGATGTCATGGCTTTGGAAGCTTTTGATAGGTTAATTGACATTTGAGTTAACTGGAGGCACACCTCAAACACTCTGCTTCCTTTTGTGACAAAAAAAATCTAAAGAAAACAGCCACAATATCAGGAAGAGAATTGTGGGCCTCCACAAGTCTGGTTCATCCTTGGGTCCAGATGCCTTAAGGTTCCACATTCATCTGTTTAAACCATTATATGCAAATAAACACCATGGGAATGTCCAGCCATCATACCGCTGAGGAAGGAGACGGGTTCTGTGTCCCAGAGATGAAGTGTTTTGATGTTAAATGTGCATATCAACCCCAGAACAAAAACAAAAGACCTTGTAAGATGCTGCTGAAGCTGGTCAGAGTGTCATTATCCACAGTGAAACGAGTCCTGTACCGACATGGGCTGAAAGGATTCTCAGAGAGGAAGAAGACATTACTCCAAAAGCAGCATAAAAAAGACAGATTACAGTTTGCAAATGCCCACAGGGACAAAGACCTTAAGTGTTGGAGACAAGTACTGTGGTCTGATGAAACTGAAATTGAACTGTTAGGCCATAATGACGGCCTACAAACCTGACTGAGTTCCACCAGTTCTGTCAGCAGGAATGGGCCAAAATTCCAGCAAACTGTTGTGAGAAGCTTGTGGAAGGAAACCCATAACATTTGATCCAACGCTTACAGTTTAAAGGCAATGCTACCAAATACTATGTATGTAAACTTCTGACTTTGAAGAAAGTAATAAAAAAATCTCGTTCTCATTCTGGCATTTAGCAAATGGAAATAATGTTGATAATCATAACTGAGCTAAAACAGGAAAAGTTTAGTCTGATTTAATGTAAGACAGTGAGGAAAAACAAGGTTATATGTCTTTTTATACAGTGTATGTAAACTTCTGGTTTCGACTATATGTAGATAAAGAAATAACCCCAATCACCTTCACCAGATTTTTTTTTAATTTAGATTTTTGTCAGTGAAAGCAGTTCAACATTTAAAACGGCAACAGAGATTTAGATAAAATGTAAATTTTCTGTTAAACAATCTCTGCATGAGTCAGTGATGTAATCAGTGCATGCATACGTGTTCAAAGCCTCTACGGAAACAAGATGGAGTGAGATGGCATGTAATTGGAGGAAATCCCGCAGTGGGACAGAAATGGTGGAGAATTTTGATTGTTTTAATCTGCACTGTCAGCCATCACTAAGCCATCTGGGACACTGCAGGAGATTACATGCAGGCTGATGCTCATCTGGCCCTCCCCCTTCTCCTCATGCTCAGAAAACCTCTCATGCTGCATCCTGGAGGTGGCAGAAACATGCATCATGTAAAACCATATAAAAACGGTTTTGATGCAGGATTAAATAAATGCTTTTTTTCTCCAGTATTTTTACGTCTCTGCTACAGTGTAGAATGTGCATATCTGGTTATTTGGAGAAACTAAGGCTGTGCTAATTGATAACATGTGGAATCAAAACACACATTATCAATAATTACCTTTCCACCCACTGGCAGGTCACTGCAGCTTGAGGCATGTCATGTACTTTTTTTTTGTATATGTTTGCTTTGCCTACCAGGGACAACCTTGGCGCCTTGGTGCTGGACATGCTGTTTCACTGGGCCTGGACACAGGGGGATGCAGGACCCGGGGCAGTGTCAAGGCTGGCGGCCGCTATGATAGAGAGCGGCAGAAGAGACCTGGCAGAGGAGATCGAGGACATTGTGAACATAGGAAGGCGAAAGTACTTGGAGTCACTGAGGAGAGTAGGCCTGGAAGCAGAGAGCTCCTCCCTCGGTGAAACCCAGCAGTAGATGAGCCCACGCTGGGTCCAGATGGCGGACTTACACTTGAGTAACCTGTTTGTTTACAGTGAGGCCCCATCATCTCACCCTGCTGTCTAAACAACTGTCCTGGTGCACAGAAAGTCTGTCTCTGTCACAGTCATGATAGTCAGCTACCAGCTGGCAGCACCTTTCACAAGACTTACAGAGGAACAGGTGAAATGGATGAACTGCATAATGGCCTGTGGCTTGGTTTTTTACCACTTTTAAAAATTGTGTCAGTATACAAGGCAAGCTATGGAAGTCCATTTCTGCCAAGAAAAGAAAAACACATACTAGTAATGATACAGGGCTATGTAATCATTTTAACATTGCATGCAATCATTTTGACTCAATCTGACAATTTTGTCTTTGAATTAGGGCTAAACAATGAACTGCAATATTATCAAAATAGCAATTTGGCCGAGTGCAATGTCCAAATCACAGCAGCGGCAATTTTTAGATAAAGGTAAAATGTGTCACAGCATATTATTATAAACAAAGCATTATGGTGCTACAAACATGTTTAAATCATATTCTCCAGATGTAAGGGAACATGCTTGTTCGGTGCAGATTGCAGCAAAAATGACATCATCATTTCTATGTTTGGTTCAGTGGAAATGAATTTTGAAAACATTACCAATCCCACTAAAATCATCACTCATATTGTATTTGCAATATCTGTCCTATTTATCACAATGTGATTGTTTTTATCCCTGCTTTGCATGTTATATTTTACAGAGCACTACTTTTGCTCTGATTTCGCCTCAGTATTTCAAAAGTTACATTATTGAAACATAGCACTTTACAAGTTTGACCAAGTATCATGATTTTAACTTTGTGTCTCAAAATCTTTGTTTCAGTATCTCATTATTGTGACATCTTTAATTTTATCACATCTAAGGACCAGTTCATGCTTTCTGCGTCTGTGGCCACAAGCTGATGTGCACACCGTTCTGTTCAACCTACATAGGCCAGTGATGGGCGATTGCATTGCTGCTTATATCAAACAGAGAAAATCACACAGGGTGTCTGTGGATGTTTTCAAAAGACAGGTTTGACTTTGCACTATTCATAGGATATGACAGCAACTGACAGATTGGACTGTAGCACCATGTCAGTGATTCTTGAGAATCTAGAACTTCCTGCTGTGTTTGGGTGCTGTCAATGGAAAGCATACACAAATCAAAGCTCCTCCCAAGTCTGACAGCAACTACCTCAGTTACAACTCCTTTAATAATGAATTATAAAGGTGTGAATGACAGAGAATCTTCTCATACTCCTCTTCTCACAACAAGTGTTTATTTTCCAGGTGTTTGCAGTTTGGACAGTCTGCCTGGTCACAGATTTTGGGTTGCATGCTGACTTGGGTGGATGACAGAATTTACGACATGCGTACCCTTGTGCACGCATGGAAGCGGAAAGCTTTACAGCTTTCTTTTTTTTTCTTCCCTTGGCAGAAATGGGCCTCCATAACTTTCACAGGTACCTGTTCAGGCAGAGCAAACACTGGCAGCTGTGGGACTGTTCACAGGTCTGAGAGATGCTCTGAAAGGGCCTTTTTTTTTTTTTTTTTAACAGCTGATTAAATTTCTTCCCTTGAGTGCCTTTAGTCACTGAGTAATCAGCTGCAGCAACATCTCAGTGGCACATCAGGATATTTAATTTTTGTAATGTACATGTTTATATCTGTTTAACGAGTAAAACTGATATAAATTCTGTAGGTGTTGTTTTTTGTAGCATTCTGCAGGGAATCTGGTGGTGACTCGCATTTATTGCTGCACGCCCAACCTTCATCCCTGATATTTCAACTCTTACCATATTGTTTTTTTCCCTAGCAGAAATGGGCCTCCATAACTTTCACAGGTACCTGTTCAGGCAGAGCAAACACTGGCAGCTGTGGGACTGGTCACAGGTCTGAGTGATGCCTTTTTTTTTTTTTTTTTTACAGCTCATTAAATTTCTTCCCTGAGTGCCTTTGGTCACTGAGTAATCAGCTGCAGCGACATCTCAGCAGCACATCAGGATATTTAATTTTTGTAATGTACACGTTTATATCCTTTTAACTAGTAAAACTGATAGAAATTCTGTAGGTCTGTAGGTGTTTTTTTTTTTTTTGTAGCATTCTGCAGGGAATCTGGTGGTGACTCACGTTTTTAGCTGCATTCCCAACCTTCATCCCCGATATTTCAACTCACCGTTTTTTTTTTTCTTCTTTTTTCTATTTTTGTACTCAAGGTCATTGTGTAGAGATGAAACGTCACGATGACGTCGGCTCCCATCCCCCACCCCCACACTGTCAGTGCTCATAAAAAAAAAACGTGTCTGTATTTCTACTACATACCACTAGAGGACCCCTGTTTTAAATCCCCCCCGTTTTTTTTTTTATTCCTCCATCGCCAGCCAGGCTGCTCCCTCCTCCTCCTCCTCCCTCCCTGCCTGCCTGCCTGCCTGCCTGCCTGCACTCCCACCTCCTCTACCTCCCTCCTCCTCCTCCTCCGGACTCCAGAGCTACTAACGCCGGTAGGTTAGCTGCTGTCGGTCTGTCAGCCGGAGACTCTGAGTGTAAAGGCTTTGATTTCTCAGCTCCACCGCCCTGGAGGAGACCGCGGAAACGGCTCTGTGCGGTACGTACACACCGGGAGGCAGTAGAAAGTCTGGCTTCACCAAATATTAGCCGTTAGAGCCTCACCTGAGAATGAAGGTAAACGCTTGAAATGTGTAAAAAAAAAAAAAAAAAATGGAGATAAAACACTGGGTGGCATTTAAAGGCTTTTTTATTTTTTTTTAATGTGTGGTTGTCGCTTCGGTGAGAGGCGGTAAATCATTTCCCCGTTATGTGGCAGCTTCATCCTACGGTGAAGATGCGGAGTTAACGGTAACGTCGGGCCTATTGCAGAATAACGTTACGAAAGATACCGTCAATGTGCCGTTACGCTCTCAGGTGTTACCGTTATCCGTTACATGCGCGAGCGCTGCTGTATCAACTTCAATGGCTCGTGCGTTTTCAATGTTTTTTTTCAAGCTAGCTCGGTTTTGGATGTTACCGGGTCAGAGTCCGTTATTCCTGCTGCCTTGTGCCGGCTCTGTAGTGTCGGTGTAATTATCATGTGGGCTGGATGTTGGTAGTGGAGGGTAAACCCACTTAAACTGAGCCCACCTCCTCTCACCTCTGACAGCCGCAGACTGAAGCTAAACATTAGCATAGTGTCACCTCTGCAATCACGCTGCATTTTAGCTACACATCTAAGAATGAGCAATATATGTTTTTAATTTTTTTGTACTGAATATCAACGATGAGGCCTCAAACTCCCCCAACGCATACACAAGTTAAATATTCATCTGCTGAGCAAGCTGTCATGCAAACTTGCAGCAAGGCTAGTTTTAAAAATACATTTCAGTGTACGTACAGTGATGAGGCCAAGCAGTGTAATAAAGCATTCCTGCTGCCTTGAAATAATTGATGAGGTTGAGCCATTCTTGGGTGTAGGGTGACATCCTGTGCTTTCCACTGGAACTGTTCTACCTTTAAGGCCACTACATTTGCTCATTAAGCACAAAACAACAACCATGTGTTAAGAATTAGTTTAATCTACATGCACAGCTGCAGGTTTACAGGCGGAGAGCATGTTAAAACCCCAAAGGCGAGGCTTGTGTGAAATGTCACTGGTGCAGGGTATGTGCACTGAATGGGAATGATGCGTAGCAGGGATGATGGGAAGGTACTGTGCTGCTGTGAGAACCTTACAGTCATTCAGGGTATCCCTTACTGTAATCTGCAAACTGTAACCAGACACTTCAATGGTGAATTTGCCTTTTTTTTTTCTAAGGAGAGTCCACCAACAGTGGTGTTATTATTTCTTTATCAAGGCTGTAGGAAAGCTGAGACAGAGGCAAAACAGAGGATAAGAGAGAAAGCCCCAGGTGACTTTAGAAACTGGGCCACTAGGGATACCTGTGGTGTGAGAGGAAGGACTAAACACTACACCACCCCTTTGCACAGAAAGGGTATTTTTTTTTGCGCTGAAAGCTTGACTTTGCCTACAGCAGGTGATTACAACAATGAATAATTGTGCCAGTTTAACGGTTACACTACGAGCTCTTGTTGTAGAAATGCATTGCTGTGCCCAGATCATAACTCTGACTCCTCTGGTTGTAAATGGAGATTGCGAGACAGCTTCTATAAGTAGGCATTAGGTTTATAATCCTGATGCTGTAGGGAAGAGGGAATAGTAATCAGATTTATGTGTGGCACCACAAAATTCCTCCCTTGTTCTTGCACGGCAGTGAATGTCCAAAAATAGATCTTGTAAACCATCATTTATGAAAAAGCATGATAATAGCATCATAGCAGCTGTCAGGTTATTGTGAAAAACAGTAGATGTATAGCTGTCAGTGCAGAGGACTATTTTAAACCCACTCCTACAAATATGCACAGATTTTTCTCTGCATCTAAGTCATGTAATTCTAGCTCACAGCAGCTTTGCAATAAATTCAATTTTTATCATTAATTAGAAAAATAACAGCCCCAGAAGGAGTGATAAACTGGACAGATTGGGTTTTATATTAGATCTGGCCTCTGTGCTCTTGCAGCTCAGCGAAGTACTTGACATCTGATAGAGGATTGCAGAAACACACTTGTGTCTGAAACAGGGCTCAGTGCTGTTCTTTGCCGATGGCTTCGAGTTTGCAGAGTGGTAATCAAACCAGTCCACGGGAGACAGATGGACTGGTAACAACAGCCTGGACGACGCTCACGAGGAGGGCTCGTGTGATTTTCTGTTCATTACTGTCTTTTCACCTCGCCACAGTCACGTGAGCTGAGTGCTGACTTCCACAGTGCTTTGTCACTATAGCTACTCACTTCCTTTTATCATTCACCCAACTCACTGTCGTTTAGTCAGCAAGACCTTCACCCTGTTGGCACTCGAGAACAAACAAGCAGCCAAGGAGCTGTGATAGGCAAGGTAATTTTTTTTCTCTGGTTGATTTGAATGAAAGCAATGCCATTTGCATTCAGTTTTGCATTGGAAATAAACTGGGGTGGATTTGTGTCTGGATTTTCAGTATCTGTAGGATTATTATTATTTTTATCTTTCAGTAATTCTATTGTGAGTGAGATGTGCCTCAGGGCAGATTAGTACCTCACTCCTTCACTGAATGTTACCAGCACATATACAGTTTTGTCAGTTTTTTTTAACGCACCTCCAGTGTGCATACTTACTTGTATTGTTGGAAGCAAAAACATTTGATTCTTGTGAGTTTAGTGTGTCTACAAACTGAATACAAACATGCATCTGTAAGATAATTTAGTTATCTTTGTTTAAAAATTGTTAATGCTCCTCATTTTTTTGAAAGTCACATAAAAGCAGTGAAGAGAGGTTGTATAAAATTTCACTGTTCCTAGATATTGTCATCATCATTAGAATACAACACTTTTTTAGTCTTATTCTTTTAATTATTGAATTTATCAAATTATTTAGTCTTATTTGTAATTTAGATTTAGTTTCTTATTTGCTTTTATTCTAGCATTTTATTTAAGCAGTCAAACAAATTTTATTATAATGTAGTACTTTAAATTATGAACCTTAATTAATGATAGCTGAATGATTTTTTCCCCTTTCAGGAGAGGAAATGACCAAGAATCCCATTTATGACTGCCCCCTACACTGTTCTTTTGTATTGCATATAAAATGTGGTATCGTTCATAAACTGGATGCAACATATTACTCTGCTGCAGCCTCTGCCCCGCCTTGGTGAGAGCACATGGACTGAAGCATTAAACTTAAAACTTTGGTCCAAGATCGGTTCAAGTTTTTTGAAATAACTTTTAGCAACAGGCTTCATGTAGATTGCTGATGTGTTCTTGTCAGTGAGGTAGGGTTGATTACCCCATTGTTCAAGTCCAACTGATGAACAAGCATCAAAGGTCAAGGATCTGAACTGTTATCTGTCTCATTCGGCACCTGAACTCTCGACTGAGTCTTTCATCAAGTGTGTCTAATGGCTGGTTTACAGGTGCCTGGCTTAAGTAGTTAAACTCAAGGTTCTGCATATTGTTTACTCATCATTGCTTATCAGCTTTAGTGATATAGACTCAAAATATGACCTCAGTGCAAGTGTGTGTGTGTGTGTGTGTGTGTCTGTCTGGAGGCTGGTTTACCAGTCAGTTTTGCTGCATTTCATTGTCTTGTTTGCCTGAAGTAGTTCTCCTTAATATTTATGTAAATTTTAAAATGGCTTTAAACCAATCTAGGGGTGTGCTCATGTGAGGTCTGAAGAAAAGTTCCACAGCAGCTTCGTGACTCTTTAATTTCAGTCATGCTGGGAGAATTAAAGAAAAAAAAAATCCTTGGAGATTTGGTTGATGAGCAATGCCTCTTGCTCTGGACGCTGCACACAGAGGCTAGTTGTTTCCATACAGACACCAATTGTCATGACAAGACACTGCAGCCAGGCTATGACTGGGGGTCAAATAAATGTCCTGGTGCAGACACAGTGGTGTGGTGTAGATAAAGCGAAGTGGACGAGTGAAGCTGCAGGCATGGAGGACGAGGAGGGAGTTGTCAGTTTGATGGGTGACTCATGTGAGACGGTAGTGATCTTTACAACCCATACATTTTCTCCTCTGTCCAGAACATATAGTGTACTTGGAATTATGATTTAAAGCGGTGTCAGAGTGTTAAGCAGCTCGTGATAAATGGCTAGGGCAAGATTTGTCGATGGAGGTGAACTGTGAAGCTCCTGGGAGCAGAGAGGAGGACGCTGCCCAGCAAACAGACACCAGGGAGGTGGTTCATTGACCTGCTCTGACCCCTCCCTCCTACACCTCTGGAGCCACCGCCGAGGGCCTCAAGTCCCCATCCAAACTAAACACACCAGACTGCAGCTGCGCTCATGCCCAGATACAGTCAACGGAAACCTAAACATCCACCCCTGCGGTGCAATCTCGCTGGGAGAGGATCTGAGAGATTAGCAATATCAGTGTGGTGCGACTGAACGTATATGCACTTTACAAAAAAACCCCTCAAGTCAGCAAAGATCTGTGTAGGAAAAGCTGTGTTTGAGAGTCGTGACTCGTGACTG